CTGATGATTCTCAGATCTACTTTTCCAGCCCCAGCCTCTCTTGCCAGTCTCCACACTCCCATCTGTAACTGCACAGTAGACATCTTGAACTGGATGTCCAGTAGACATCTTAAGCTCAATGTGTCCAAAGCTGAACTCATTATCTTTCCCCCCAAAAAAATCCTTCTTCCCTTCCTAACTTTAATAATACTATTTGAGGGCACCACCATCCCAGGACCACAACCCTAGGGTCATCGTCTACTTTACTTTCTCACCCTGCGTATCTGTTCAGATATCAAGGCCTCTCAGTTGTGTCTTTGTAACATTTCTTATGTGCAGCCCCTTCTCTCCTGTCATACTGCTACTACTTAGATGCAGGCCCTCATCTATTCATGCCTGGACTATTGCAACAGCTACTGATTGGTCTGCCTACCTCAAGTCTTCACTGTAGTCCATCTTCAACTTAGCTATCAAGGCAGTTTTCTTAAAGCACAAGCCTAGCCATGACACTACCCCAACTCAGTAAATTCCAGTGGTTTCCTCTAACCTCAAGGACTAAATATAAAACCCTGTTTGGTGTTCAAATACCTTCATAATCTAGCCCCTCTTCCCCCACTTCCACCCCCCATTCTTCTTACACACATACCATTCTCTCTGCTCCCCCTTTTCCCCTTAGTCCTCTTCCCCTCCCCCTTCTCGTCCTCTGTCTCCCCATCTCTCTCCCTCTCCCTCTCTCTCTCCCTTTCCTTCTTCCTCTGCCTCTTCCTCTTCTTCTCCACTTCCTCAATCCAATGGCCCTGGCTTCCTTGGTTTTCCTAAAACAAGACACTCCGTCTCCCAACTCTGAGCATTTTCTCTGGCTAACTCACATGCCTAGAATGTTTTCCCTCCTCATCTACCTTCTTCCCTGGCTTCCTTCAAATCCCAGCTAAAATTTTTGCCTTTCCTTTCCCTTTTTAAAGCCTATCCCTTAATTTTAAGCCTTTTCCTCTTAATTTTAGTGCCTTCCTTCTGTTAATGAGTTTCCATTTGTCACATATTTAGCTTGCTTGTACATGGTTGTTTGCATGTTGTTTCCCCCATTAGACTGTGAACTCCTTGACAGCAGGCACTGTCTTTTGCTTTTCTTTGTGTCCCCAGTGTTTAACACAGTGCCTGACACATAGTAGGCACTCCATAAATTTTTACTGATTAACTGGCATTAACATTTTTTTTCTTTTATGCTGTGTGCTTTAATAGCACTCCGCAGATTTAGGCTGAAAAATGAAAACTCTTGTCTCCTCTCTGAAGAAAGTAAGCACATTAAATCATTTTTCCTTCAAGTAGCAACAAGTTAGAAGAAAATACCTCATCTAGATTCTAAAAGAATAGTATAGTTCTTTCACCTGTGGAACTTCTCATTTTCCTTTTTTCTTTTACAGACTTCATTCACACTAGTCAGTCAATCCTTTCTTTCTTCCTACTTTTCCAGATTTCATTTCCCATTCCCACAACATACGTTTCCTATCATACAATTTATATTGATTCCATCATTTAAAATTCCTCTCTATCTCACTGCCCCATTCTATCATAACAAATCACTAGATTCAAAATAAAAATTAATTTAAAGAGAAGTGATTGTTTTATCAATATCATAGTTAAAGCCCTTATAGGGAGAAGTGTAAATAGATTTCTGATTTTAAGTTTCCCTTCTTTATATCGGCTTTATTTTATTTAAGATTTTTTTTCTAAGATGATTTTTTTCCCCTATAAAGACAAGACTTCCTTTCTCTAGTGATCTTGCTGTTTTACTACGTCTTAGTATTTTAATGTCAGTTAACTTTAGATCCTGTTTATAAAAATTTGAATGTTAAGATTAGATACTTTTTGAATTTGAAGTACATTTTTATCCTAGATAGAGAAATGACTCATCGTAGTGTTGGAAGGAAGTTAGAATTATGATCTTTCCACCTCCTGACAAAAACCACACATAAAATTCACATAATGAATTTAGTGACAGGAAAAGGTTTTCAGAGTTTTAAAGATATGTAAAAGAGTAACAGGTATCAAATGTATCAAATCAACAACACATGTTATTTGGCATTTCCAAGAGATTGGAGAAAGGACTAAATAAGAATGTAGCTAATTATCAACAGATAATGAATTCTAATTCTCAAATACTTATTAACTAAGAGACTAGTGTCTAGTTAAACTTTATTATTCCTTGCATTATACATGGGTACATTTACTTACAGATTCACATTTTATTGTTGTTCTGTCATTTAGTCATGTCTGACTCTTCATGGCCCCAAGGACCACATTGTCCCTGGGGTTTTCTTGAAACTTCTATTTACCTACTTTAAAAACTTCTTTTCCTCAAAACAATTTCCTTCTCTACTGGATTAAGGCAAACAGAGATTAAATGACTTGCCCAGGGTGTTGTTTGGTTTTGTCCAAATCTTTGTGACCCCATTAGGGGGTCACAAAACCAACTAGATAACCCTAAATGGAGTTATGAAGAGTTGGACATCAGTGAAATGATTGAATAACAAAATTGGTCACTCTGGAGGAGGTCCCAGCATGTCTTACAAATTTGCTGCTGACATCAGTCTAGCTCCCTTGGGGCTAGGATATCACCAAGATAAGATGCCTGGTTTGATGAAACTTCAGAAGATGTTCTCAGCCTCCAAACCCTTCTGAAGGATTCTCACATAGGTGTCTACCTTCACATGACCATGGAGATAGCTGTTTTCACTGACACACCAGTGGCCCTGGTTGCCAAGAAACAGTGGTCTTGCTGCAGTATTTCTCTAAATAGGATGATGGTAAGGACATCTCCAATCTAGCCATCAATGTGAATGGTTCTTTCACCAAGAGCAAGCTTTGACAACCTATACCACTACCATGAGTCCCTCATTGATGGCCTCAGCTGCTTCACAAATGTGATCATGGACTAAGTGGCTGTGGTTCTGTGCTGTGGTGATGTGTGCAAAGGTTATGCTCCAGCCGTTGCAACTTTGGAATCCTATTCATCATTACAGGCATCAATTACATCAGCATGTTACATAATATCATACTTCAGGCCTCTGTGGAGGGCTACAAAAACAGAAGCATCTTTGTCATCAACACAGGCTTACATAGATAACCACTTTGGACAAACACTTTAATGTGGAAATATATGTGAAGTGGCTAAATGAAAATGCAGTTGTGTTGAACATGAAAACTTGCATGCACTGCTAAGGTGCACTGAAGAATGAGTGGTGGATCATTAAGACAATGAAAAAACAGTCTCAGTATTTGGGCATGCCACTATCAATACTGAGGCCCAGTCAGCCTAAAGGCTCCAAGTGACCAGTTGCATGTTTGTGCCAGCCCTGCACAGAGTAATAAATGGCCCCTGGGTTTGGTTAAAATAATAATAATAATAATAATAATAATAATAATAATAATAATAAAAAATCAATTTGTAAAGCTTAGAAGATAACTATCCAGACTCCAGAGATTTCCTCTTTATTGGATACTTTAAGCTCTGCTGGATTTGGATTTAGCCATTTGAGATTTAACATTTAATATAAATTGAATAGTAAATGTCTTTGAGTGCCTGTATCAACTTTGGCTAGTTAAACAAACAAAATACGTTCAACTTTTAGTAGCATAAAGAACTGAATAAAATTTAACTCAAGGACATAATTTTGCTTCTAGCCCAAATGTCTTGTTTCTCTCATAGGGGCACAAAAGAAACTTGTGGTGGAAAAAAAAAATTGGTAGTTTACCTCAAAAAGTTAGGGCTGTCACCTATATGTAGATATATACACATAGGCATATCTGAATACCTATTTCTTTTGCGTTCTAGTAAAAAAAAAATAAATTATTTACATCAAAATAGTCAATTAGAAGTTTTGGGGTTTTTGCCGTTTACTAATCAGGTGTCTTCTTGTCTTACCCATTTTGAAATTTTGGTACCAAATTTATTGCTCCATCCAAATTTGTAAGGCTTAAGAAATAAAATAGAAAGCTTCATGCTTCTTCCAGAAGAAGAATGTGACAGACAGATATTAAGAAAATTCTTTCAGATGTGTGTATTTGATGCCAAAGAAGGGATAAAGAAAGACATGAGTACATGAGAAGTCACATTGCAATGGCTCTACATCTTCTCCCTAGTATTTTGTTATTGCAATAATGATGGTTGTCTGGGGACACGAGGAACATGTGCCCACATGCCGAGGGAGAGTGAAGAGGCAGGGGAGGAGCACAGAGCTCATCTGAAGATGAAGGTTTGAGGCACGGCCCTGCTGCCATCCATGGAACCATGGGACCCTTGTTTAACCTTTCTGAGCTTCATTTTTCTCATTTCTAAAACTGGAATGATAGTACTCATGCTCTGTACGTTACAAGTGGTGAGTGGTAAGATTGCGCACATCTTAAAGCACCGCGTCAGCGTGAGGCGTTATTGGTAATTCTCAGTGCTGTTTTGTCATTTTAAAGAGGTGGTCTGGAATCAGTATGATTGCTTGTTTTGTTTAAGAAAGTTTGGAATTGGCCCTGTCATTTGTTCTTGTTTTGTCATTTTCTTGTCATACTCAAGAGGCAAAAAGGTCTTATCTTTTTTTTTTCTTAGTTGTTGATGGTTCATCATCCATCACCTATGAAAGGAAGTCTCTTTTTCCTTATCCTACAATAAAATAGATAGTCTGCATTCTTACTAATTGAAGGATGTACTTTGTGGTAATAATACTGAAGTGGTAAGGAATAAAGTTGTCATTCGTTTGGTAGAATTGTCTTAAGTTAATCCCATTTTAATTTAGATAGAAGGTAGTCAGAAATTGTCTAACTGATGATTTTAATTTTAACTCGGTAAGGTTTTTCTAGATCAGTTATACCTGGAGCCATTATTTCTTCTGTTCTGTTTACAAATACTTGGAATTTTTCTTTTTATCTATAAATTTTACGTTCAGGTTAACGTATGCAGCTATCTATTACAACATGGTGGTAGGTATATATGAGTTTTTTTTTTTAACAAAATCCATGCTTTTCCTACACAGCAGGAACTCCAGAAGATAAAATGAGACTGTTCCTTATCTATTACATAAGCGCACAACAAGCTCCCTCTGAGGTATGTTCTTTGTATTTATTTTGAAAAAATCCTGTTTGAAGAGTAACTGCTGCCAGCTGGAGTTTCATAAAAAGAATAAAAGTCACTCTAACCAACTATCTATTTCATTCCTTTCATTAAAAGAAAAACAGTTGGGTGAGATTTGGTGCCTAGATACTGCCAATTTTTATGGAAGCATTTTTTATCATGAGGGTAGGAAAGTCCATTCATAAAATGTCCTTCTATTTTTACTTGTATTTATTTATTTATTGCTAGGCAGTGGGGTTAAGTGACTTGCCCAGGGTCACACACCCAGGAAGTGTCAAGTGTCTGAGGCCAGATTTGAACTCAGGTCGTCCTGACACCAGGGGTGGTGTTCTATCCATTGCACCACCTAGCTGCCCCTTGTCTTTCTATTTTTAATTTGATGAAATGTGAACATAATTCTAGTAAAGAAAAAAATCTTACCAGAAGATGCTATTTTCCAAGTTATTGAAACCAGGTTTTTTCTTGTTATTCTTTTTGACAGATTGAGTTAATTTTCTAAGAAATCGGTGTAACTCTAGTATCTCATCAAAAAACAACTATATACTTAAAACACACTCTGTCCATTCAGTCATCAAACATTTATTAAGCATCAGTTATATTCTAAGCATTGAGAATGCAGAATAAAAATGAAAAAATTCCTTACCTACAAGTAGCTTTTATGGTTCTTGAAATTCTGGTTTTAAACCCATTTCTTTTAAATCATAGGCAGTTGTACTTTTCCCTTTCCCCAAAGAAATCTTTTATTTGAAGTGACCATTAGACATTTTTCCAGGTAGATGTAATTTTAGAAATAATGTCTCAGAGGGTTCTGGGAAGATAGCAGAATAAGACAGGAAATACTGGGCTCTCCAAATTTCCCTCACAAACAAGACAAAATATCACCTCAGAGTAAACTTTGAGCAGCATAAATAATTAAAACTTGGGATAAAACAGTTGTCCTCCTAAGACAGCTTGAGAGGACCTCAGGAAAGACTCAACCTCCAGGGGTAGAGGTTTGGCCTAAGATAAGTAGAGACGCCTCCAGGGAGACTCTGCTGAATCAACAAAAAAAAAAGAAGCCCGGGGGCAGCTGACTAGGGGAAGATTAAAGGACCCTCCACTGTCAGGAGATGCCAGGCCCAGTTGTGCTGACCAGACTCGGCTTTTGGTGAGGAAGAGCCCTACTGGCTGTGGGCACCTGCAGGAAAACAAAGTTCCTGGTTATGCTTCCAGGGATGAGCTGGAAGTCTGGAGCTGCAGGAGAAATTGCTGGGAACAAGAGCATCTGCAGTGGCAGCATGGCTGGGGGCCTAGCCATGGGGTGGTGAGGAGTGCCAGAGGTCAGGCACTGCCCCTGGGGCTCAGAAAACAACAGTAAGAAAAACCTGAAGTCTGAGGCAGCATCTCCGCACCTGGGACTAAAATATGACCATAATGATAAGTTGCTAATAATAATAATAATAATTATGGGTAAACAAAGGAGAAAGAACTCAACCATAGATAGCTACTGTGAAGATAGAAGAGATACAGGTTCATGCTCAGAAGAAGATAGTGAAGTTAAAAAGGCCATTCCTACTTCAAAGAAAAATGCCAAATAATCATAAGCCCAAAAACAGTTCTTGGAAAAGCTTAAAAGGACTTTAAAACTCAAATAAGAGAGATTGAGGAAAAATTAGGGGAAAAAAATAAGCACAATCCAAGAAAATTATGAAAAGAAAGTCGACCAATTGGAACATAAAATAACTCCTTGAAAACTTAACTTGGGCAAGGGGAAGCTAATGGCATTGTAAGACAAAATCAGAAGAATGAAAAAAAGAGAGAATGTGAAACATCTCATTAGAAAAACTAGATCTAGAGAACAGATCAAAAAGAGACAATATAAGAATCATTGGACTGCCTGAAAGTTATGATTAAAAATTATTCTCAATACAATATTACAAGAATTATTCAGGAAAATTGCCTGAAGTTCTAAAAAGAAAGAGTAAAATAGAAATAGAAAAAAATCCACCGATTGCCAACTGAAAGAGATGACAAGATGAAAACTCACAGGAACATCATAGCAAAGTTTCAAAGTTCCCAGGGTAAGGAGAAAATACTACGAGCAACAAGGGAAAAAAAAGCAATTAAAATACTGTGGAGCTACAGTGAGGATAACACAAGACCTAGCAGCCTCTATATTAAAGAACCAGAAGGCTTGGAACATATTTCAAAGAGCAAAGGAGCTAGGTTTGCACCAGAAATAACTTACTCAGCAAAGCTGAGTATAGTCTTGAATTTAAAAAAAAGAAAGTATTTAATGAATTGATAGACTTTCAGGTTTTTATGACAGAAAGACCAGAACTCAATGGAAAATTTGACATATAAGATCCAGGAGAAACATAAGATAAATATTAAAGACCAATTATAAGGGACTCAATAAGGTCAAACTGTTTACTTCTGATATGGGAAAAAGTTATTTGTACTCTTTAAGAATGTTATCATTACTTATGTAGTTTGAAAGTATATGTAGATGAAAGGCTTGGGGTTGAGCACAATGGGATGATTCTAAAAAATAAAATTGAGTAGGAAGAGGTAAAATGGAGAAATTATCTCATACAAATAAGGTATGAATGAAAGAATTGTTACAGTGGAAGGAGGTGGGGGTGCAGAGTGTTTTAAATTTATAAAGAAATAGGGCAAAGGGACAGGATAAGAGAGGGATTTTCAGAAGAGTATATAAATCAAGAAGTAAGAGGGTTTGATCTTCGAGTCAGGAGGACCTGAATTCAAATGTGACCTCACACATTTACTAGCTGTGTGACCCAGGGCAAGTCACTTAACTCTGATTGCCTCAAAAAAGAAGTGGAGGGAGTAGTATAAAGGAGGGGTTCGTACAGGGGTGGGTAGGTTAAGGACTAGGAGGGTAAGGGGAGAAGATAAGGGAGAGATTCTTTTAAAAGGTATTGATTAGGGAGGTAATGGTTAGAAGCAAATCAAATGTGTGAGGAAGTATAGGGTAAAAAGGGAAAAATAGGATAGAGGGAAATATACATTATTGGTTGTGTATTTTAATTATTATAAAACTTTGAATGGGATGGACTCAACTATAAAATGGAAACATAACAGAGTGGATTAAAAATCAGAGTTCGACAGTCTGTTGTTTACAAGAAAGACATTTAAAAATGAGAGATACACAGAGTTAAAGGGCTCCGGTAGAATTTATTATGCATCAGCTGAGGCAAATAAAACAAGGGTAGCAATCATGATTTTAGACAAAGCTAAAGCTAAAATAGACTTAATTAAAAACATAAAAGTATCATAGGAAATGAAGCAATATCAATGCTAAGCCTATATACACCAATTGCTATAGCATCTAAATTTTTAAAGCAAAAGTTAAATGAATTTCAGGTGGAAATATAGAGTACCAAAATAGTAAGTACTTTAACCTTCCCTGCTCAGAATTAGATCAATCTAAACATTAAACAAGAAAGAAGTTAAAGAGGTGAATAGAATCTTAGATAAGCTACATATGATACTTATCTGGAGAGAACTGAATGGGAATAGAATTTTCTCAGCAGTACATGGTATCTTTACAAAAATTCACCGTATATTAGGGCATTAAAAACCGAAAAATTAAATGCAAAAAAACAGAAATACTAAATGGATGCTTTTCAAATCACAAAGCAATAAAAATTATATTCAATAAGGTACCATGGAAACAAATATTAAAAAATAATTGAAAACTAAACCTAATTTTAAAGAAAGTGTGAGTTAAAAAACAAACTATAGAAACCCATCAATAGTTTCATTAAAGAATAACAGTAATGAGACAACATATCAGAGCCCATGGGATGCAACAAAAGCAGTTATCAGAGGAAAAATTATGTCTCTAAATGATTATAGCAATAAAATAGAGAAAGGGCAGACCAATGAATTGGACATGCAATTAAAAAAAAACTAGAAAAAGAACAAATTAAAATTCCTCTATTAAACATCAAATTGAAAATCTTAAAAATTAAAGGTGATATTTATGAAACTGAGTATAAGAAAGCCATTGAATTAATAAATAAAACTAAGAGTTGGTTTTATGGGGGGGGAAGACCAATGAAATAGATAAATCATTGGTTAATATTATCAGAAAAAAGAGAAGAAAACAATCACTAGTACTAAAAATGAAAAGGGTGAAATGCCACTAATGAAGATAAAATCAAAGCAGTTATAAGGAATTATTTGGCCCAATTATATGCTAGTAAATTTAATAATTTAAGTGAAGTGGAAGGATATTTACAAAAATATAAAATGCCTAGATTAACAGAAGAAAAAATGGAATATCTGAATAAACCTGTTTTAGAAAAAGAAATTGAACAGACTGTAAGTCAGCTTCCTAGAAGAAAAGCATCAGGACTAGATGGATTTATAGGTGAATTCTGCCAAACATGTAAAAATCAACTATTTCCAATATTAAATAAATTATTTGGAATAAAAGGCAAAGAAGGAGTCCTACTAAACTACTTTTATGAAACAAATATGGTACTGATACCTAAACCAGGAAGAGCAAAGTAGAGAAAGAAAATTATAGATCAATTTATTAATGAATATGGATGCAAAAGTCCTAAATAAAATACCATTTAGAAGACTACAATAATACAGTACAAAGATTATATGTTGTGACCAAACAGGATTTATACCAAGAATGTAACAGTGGTTTAACACCAGGAAAACCATTAACATAATTGAGTATATCAGTAACAAAATTAACGAAAATCATATGATTATATCAGTAGATGCAGAAAAAACTTTTGATAAAATACAACATTCATTCCTTTAAAAATATTTGAAAGCCTATGTGAAAATGGATTTTTCCTTAAAATAATAAGAAGCATCCACCTTAAACCATTATTTGTAATAGGGATAAGCTAGAAGGTCTTCTCAAGTAAGATCAGGAACGAAACAAGGATGCCCATTGTCACCGGTATTATTCAGTATTGTATTAGAAATGCTAGCATTAGCAATAAGAGAAGAAAAAGAAATTTAAGGAGTCAGAATGGGCAATGAGTAATAAAACTGCCTTTTTGCAGATAATATGATGATATACTAGGAAAATCCTACATATTCAACTAAAATGTTATTGGAAACAGTAATTTTAGGAAATATAAAACCCACATAAATCATCAGCATTTCTATATATTAACAACAAAACCCTGCAAGAAGGGATAGTAAGAGATACCCCATTTAAAATAACTATAGATAGTGTGAGATACTTGGGAGTATGCCTAACAAAACAAACCTGGGAACTACATGAACATAATTATAAAACACTGTTTATGCAAATAAAGTCAGATTTAAATAATTGGAGAAATATTAATTGTTGATGGGTTGGCAGAGCCAATTTGATAAAAAGACAGTTATTTATTCAATGCCATCCCAATTAAATTACCAAAAATATGTTTTACTGAGCTAGAACTTGTTTGAAAGAACAAAAGGTCAAAACTATCAAAGGAATTAATGAAAAAAAAAATGTAAAGGAAGGAGGTTTAGCAGTACCAGATTTATATGTAACTATACTATATAATGGAGTATTTACAAAACTATCTCGCACCAGCTAAGAAATAGAAAAGTAGATCAGTGGAACAGAGTAGACATAGAAAACACAGTAGCAAATGATTATAGTAATCTTGTATTTGGAATAAGAATTTTTTATAAGAATTCATATTTGGTTTAAAAAAAATTGTTGGGAAAGCTGGAAAGCTCCTGGCAGAAACTGAGCGTAAACCAATCTTACGCTGTTTACCAAGATAAGGTCAAAATGTATATATGACCTTGGTATAAAGGGAGATAACTTGAGAAAACTAGGACATAAAACATATTACCTGTTGGACTTAAGGATAAGAGAACAATTTGTGAATAAACTCTAACAAATAAAGAGTTAGCATTGTGAGGTATGAAATAGATAATTTTGATTACATTAAATTAAAAAGGTTTTGTGCAAGCAAAGCCAAGATTAGAGGGAAAACAAAGTTGGGAGAAAACTGTGTCAAATTTATAAAGAATACAAATCATTCCCCAATTGATAAATGGTCAAAGGATAGGTGCAGGCAGTTTTTCAATGCAGAAATCAAAATGTGTGTGTGTGTGTGTGTGTGTGTGTGTGTGGTCATATGAAAACATGCTCTAAACTTACACTGTTGATTAGAGATGTTAAAACAACTTTGTGGTATCTTTCACCTATCAGATTGGCTAAAATGATAGAAGGGGAAAGCTACAAATGTTGGAGGCAATGTGGAAAAATTGGGACACTGATTCACTGTTGTTAGAACTGTGAATTGATCCAGTCATTTTGGAGAGCAATCTGGAATTATGCCCAAAGAGTTATAAAATTTTGGATATCCTTTGACCCAGCAATATCACTATTAGGTCTGTTTTCCAAGGTGATTAGGGGGAAAGGAAAATAACTTATATGTTCAAAAATATTTATAACAGTTCTCTTTGTCGTGGCAAAGAACTGAACATTGAGGGGGATGCCTGTCAATTGGATACCACAAGTTGTGGTACATGATTGTGATGGAATACTACTGCACTATAAGAAATAATGAGCTGGTTGATTTTAGAAAAACATGTAAATACTTGCATGAAATAATGAAGAGTGAAATGAGCAGAACCCAGAGAATGTTGTACATAGTAACAACAATATTATTCTAAGAACAACTTTCAATGACTAAGTCATTTTGAGTATTATAAATATTCAAATCAACTACAGGGGAGCTATAAAGGAAGACACTATCCACATGCAGAGATAGAACTGATAGATACAGACATACAGACATACTTGTGTATAAGCTTTCCCTGGGGCAGCGGAGGGAGGGAGGGAGAAAAAAAAGTGCATAACGGAGAACAAAATAAAACTTGGAAGCACGGAAAAGCAGGGTAGTTTTGAAAACAGTGTGTATTCATTATGTAGTTGTTTTTTTTAGCAGCGTGAAATGGAAATTCATGGTTTTATATTAAACCCTCTTTTTATGTTGTCCTGTGTACATAAAAATGTTTCCTTTTTTTGGTCTTTTTGTATTTAAGTTCAGAATGATTTTTTTTTAAATCTGAGAGTGATTATTTCCCTCCCTTAAAAAAACTTTATATAAATTGGTAAACATCAAAACTTGCAATTTAGTATCATTAAAGTCTCAGATTTGTACTTCTATTTAGCCATATCTAAGTAAGCTCCCTTAGTGATTGTAGGTGAATTAATACTTATGTTAAAATAATAAATCAATCACAACTATTATTAAACTGTCTACCATATTATCTTGTTTGTCTTATTTTAAAAATGATCAGTTTTACTTCAGGTAATTCATATAATTCTATAGGACTAGTTTAGTATTATAAGTAGTTTTCTATTTCCATACTTCTATTTAAATATTATAGGTATTTTATTGATAATCTCCCTTAAAGACAGATTGTACTGGCATTTTTTTTGGTGAGGCAATCGAGGTAACTGACTTGCCCAGGGTCACAGAGCTAGTAAGTGTCAAGTGTCTGAGGCCAGATATGAACTCAGGTCTTCCTGACTCCAAGGCTAGAGCTCTATCCACTTTGCCACCTAGCTGCCCCCTGGCATTTTTAAAGGAGTGTTTTATTGTATGTATTGGCCTTGAATCTTATGTCCTTGTTTTGAGGGTTTAAAAATATCTAAAGCCAAACTGTTAAAAATCAAGAATAAAACTGTAAGAAAAAAATTTACATAGAGTTTAAGTTATTTTATTTTGCACTTGAGAGGAAACAGTTGTGAACCTTTCTTAATTTCACCTCTATTTATCCTTAAAATGTAGAATGGATATGTGTTATTTCAGGAGACACTTTATTTTCTCCTGTCACAAGTTCATGATACATATTTTCAAAAAGCTCACAATGAAAATAACTGAAGTATAAGGGCAACATTTGTTGCAGAGAATGAAGAGGTTAAGAAACATGTAATTTAATGCTTAAAATTCAGTGACACCATTGTGAAAAGTAGGTTTAGAAGGAAGGTGAAAAATGTATTGGAAATGTTGGTTCAGTTGTAAGAAACAAGAAAGGCCAAAGGCTTTGTAAAGATTATAAAGGTAAGTCTCATCCCTGTTTCTCATGAATACGTTCTTGAGGAAGATGACTCTTTTAAAAATTTATTTATTTATTTGTTTGTTTGTTTGTTTGTTTGGCAATTGGGGTTAAGTGACTTGCCCAGGGTCACACAGCTAGTAAGTGTCAGATGTTTGGTGTGAGGCTGGATTTGAACTCAGGTCCTCCTGACTTCAGGGCCAGTGCTCTATCCTCTGCACCACCTAGCTGTCCCTTGAGGAAGATGATTGATAAGCTGGGGATGTTTTAAGCACTAATTAACGTGACAAAAAATGAATTTAATTACCTATTTTAACAGGCAGTAACAGCTAGCTAGTTACTGTTACAGTACTCACTTCCAAATCAGTTCTCTGTATATAGTCAAACCTCTGACTAGTTAGATCAGAGATCAAAACCAGCAACAAATTAGAAGAAAAAGGAGATGATATAGTGAGGCAACAATCATTGAACTTATTTTAAGTAAGCTGTTGATACACACACAAAAATGAAAAATAGGTATAAAAGAATAAATATCTTGTTCTTTCAGATTTTCACCATTTACTAAAGAAGTTTAACCAGTATAAATTAACTACCACAACTACGAGGTGAAAATAGAACAGAATGCCATTTCAGTCAGCAAACACTTCATTTCCTTGCCATACAAAGAACTGTTATGGCCAAGGACAATATGCAACTTTAAAATCTAAACTCATTTGGACAAGCTTTAAAAAGAGGATGATGGATAATTATGAGTAGCATTACCTTATAAAAGAGCAAGAAGCAGTTGAGAATCATTCCTGTCCACATCCAGTTTATAGTTGTTCACTTTGCTTGCAGTTTAAATAAGCTGCCATTTTGACTGGTATGGTGGGGGAGGACATTTGATCCTATATACAGCAGTAGGGTCCCAAAGGTGTGATATTTTCCCTAAAGCAGCTAGTTCAAGGCTTGAAACATGCTGTGTTTTTTTCTTTATAGCTTTCTGCATTTTAGAAACCTGAGGTATAATGGCAGCAAACCAGATACAGTATTTTGCTTGTGACCAACATGTTTTTCTTTATAAACATACCTCTTAAATTTTTATGTAAATAAATGCATTTTGCCTTAATAAGTACTTCTTGTTAGTTTGGTTGTACCTTTGTTTTATAAAATAGGCTATATAAAATAATTTACCAAGAATAAGAGCTTTAATATTTTTAATTCAAAAGGTACTTAATTTTTTTAACTTGATTCAAAGAGAATTTAACCTTTTTATTTTATTTTAGCCGCCTACATAAGGAATGGTTTATAAATCTTTCCATTTGTCAAATATATTATAAACAAATTATTAGTAAAATATGACTATTAATGATAAATCCATAAGACATTGCCACCAGACCTTGATATGTTTTGGAATCTACAAAGGGGAGGACCCTTCTAGGGTGCAAAGCCCAAAATATTTCTGGACGTGGGCCAAGAGTTGATGGGATCTCTGGGAATTTAAAGTTAAAGCCACTGGTCAGACTTTCTGATTTAGTAAATTTATAGTAAAGAGGTGTTCTTTCTGTTCATTGACATAAGGAATAGTTTATAATTGTTTACTTAATATATTCCTTTTTATGATTCCAGGCTGACTTGGAACAGTACAAAAAGGCTCTGACTGAGGCAGGATGCAACCTCACTCCTTTGCAATACATCAAACAGTGGAAGTAAGTCTTTTTTATCTCTCCTTTAAATTTATCACTTGAGAGGTGTCATTTAATATGATGGGGCAGAACACTGTTTAGATGTGGAGACAGAACTCTCTTCCTTAGCCTTTCCACTCCCAAAGCCTCATAACTTTACTTAAAATAGTAAACATCTAGACAACCCCATTTCATCTTCAGCTCTCTCTCCCTCACCTTCCAACTTTTTCTGTACTGTATTTGTCCCCCTTGAATAACTACTTCGTAACATCTCTTAGTTTAAACTTAAAAACCCATCCAGTCAGTTACCACGTCTTTTCAAATCTGCCTCCACAATGTCCCTCTTATCTGTCTCCTTTTCTGTATTCATATGACACCCAACCAAGTGTAAGGGTCTCCTGACTTCTAAGTGAGTACTCTTTCCACTACATCCTTGTATCCTTTTTTGGTCTAAAAAAAAAGAAATAGAATGAGACTTATTGTGTTAGGAGCTTTCTCCACCAGCACAGATCACAGTGGGTCTGCATAGTAGATAAGGCTTAGAAAATTGCCCATTTCACTTCGAGGTTAAGTGACCTGCCCAGACTGACATAGTAAGTGTCAGAGGGAGGCCTTGAACTCAAGTCTTTCTGACTCCCAAGTTCATCGTTCTACCCAGTATCACCCTCCCTTTAAAATAATTGTAATAATAATGATGACTAAAATTTACATGATGCTTTTTAGTTTACTAAATGCTTTACTCACAACATCCTTAATCATTGAAAGATCCCTCTCAAGCAAACTTGACCATTTATGTCTCTTTTAATCCAGCAAATTTTAGAATGTTGTCAAGAGTTTGAATTTTCCCTTAAATTATTTTTAATATATAGGTTGAGATTAGTGGCAGAATCATCTCTATTCTCGGAATTTGCCACAGTCAAAAGTAATATTCTTAAGTACAATTATAATAACATGATTCTCTAAGCCAGTTTTAAAAAATCAGCCTTTATCTTCATGTTGTCATTTTGTAGGGCCTTTGCCAAGATGGCTTCAGCTCCAACCAGCTATGGAAATACTGCCACTAAACCAATGGGGTAAGTAACTTTTTTTAATGATTATCTAACTCCTCTTGCTTCAGTTAACCAAGCAGAAATGTAATTAATTTAAACTGTACCTGAGGCACGTTCATTTGTTGGAAAAGCCAACCCAGCAGTCCAGAGGAGAATCCTGCCAAAGGTGCAGTCATGCTAGTTGGGGACAGCCTGAGCACCAGAGTCTGGGTATCATAACCCTGTGGTAAAACTATTCTCACCAAAAATTGATAAACTTTTATGTTTTATAAACCATTATTAACTATAGCAAAGTATGCTAAGTTTCATTGAGAATCACAAATAGCAATGTATTTGTAGTAGTTTAAATTCTAATTTTAAAAAATGTAAGTGAACAGGTTTTATGAAATAACATCAGAACATTTTGTATACTGCTAATGGTTATTTCCTTCAAAAATTTCTGTTTAATCCATTATGATGCTTCATTTTTTTTTTATTTTGACAAATAATTGATATAGTACACGTTATTAGGAAGAATACTTTATGGCATAATTGAATGAAATTTTTTAAGGGTGATGAATGTTTCAACAATATGACTGCTTTTGAAAATTTAATATGTATAGTTAGGAATTCAGGCTAAGATGCATTCATCATGTGCTGTTATGAGAATAGACTGAACACTTAAGTTCAGATGATAAATCCAAAATGCTTTTCAAATCTAAAATGAGTTGTAGCTTTTTAATAGTTAACAGGCAGAAAAAGATATGTTTATTTTCAACATCTTCATTCATTTTGTTTTACTTAGCAAAAGCAAGGTATTTAAATTGCTTTCTTCAGAGTTATATCTCAGCATGAAGAATATAGGAAAAGAGCAAAGGAAGTCCCTTAAAATTGTTAAATACCTAAAAGGTAATTTTTTGGGGGGTGAGGCAGTTGGGGTTAAGTGACTTGCCCAGGGACACACAGCTAGTAAGTGTCAAATGTCTGGTCTGAGGCTGAATTTGAACTCCGGTTCTCCTCATTCCATGCCTGGTGCTCTATCCACTGCGCCACCTAGCTGCACCAAGACAAAGTATTCTAAAGACTGTTCATCATGCTAGCTATTTTGTTAGTGATTATTGACAGAAAAATAGTTGTGAATATTATAATGGTCAACAGAATTACAGAAATCTATGAAAACAGATTGTTATTCAATATTCTGTGAAAATGAAGGTAATCTATTGAGAATCTGTAAAAGTCATTTGTATTAAGTAATCTATCTTTGTATTTTTGCCCCTAGTCTCTTATCCCGGGTCATGAACACAGGGTCACAGTTTGTGATGGAAGGAGTGAAGAACTTAGTATTGAAACAACAAGTAAGTAAGATTATTAGGAGGGGTGATAGGAGAACGCCTTCCATCTGTGATTTCATCAGTATAGGGAATTGTCTCTAACTTCTGTGCAGTTTATACTTGCATAGAGAGTTACTTGAAGCACTGAAAGATTGTTTCTTAACTCAAGTCACGTAGCTAGTATGTGTTAGAGGCAGGACTTGAACCCATGTCTTCATGGCTTCAAGGTCAACTTTTCTATCTCCTGTACCACACTGACTTTTATGAAAAGTAGGATATTGTGTAAGAAACACAAATAGTTGGACAAATTGAACTCAGTTTTAATAAGTTGATTTGTTTTCAGATCAAACTGAAGTAAAATAAGCTTTCCTCCCCTCCCCCCCAAACTGTAGCATACACTTACTACTGTTTGTAGTGTAAGTCATCTACCTTTTCTCAGTTTGCATTATTAAAATATTTCTGTGAGTTTGCTGCTTTGTACTACAGTTACTTGAAGATTCATTTGTAAGTCAGATGTAACCTAACATGATTTTTCCTCATAGAAAGAATGCTATAAATGTTTAGGTTCGTTTATCATGAATTCAGAGATCACATGCTCACTCCCTACCATCATTTCTTCTTTGTTGGTTAGAATCCAGTCATTCTGGGAAGGAGTCATACTTATTTCCTTTTGCTTTTCTTAAAAATAAATTTTATTGATATTTTCTGTTTCTTACATTACCATAGTTATCTAAATATCCCTTTCCTTAGCCTTCCCAGAGAGCCATCCTATATGACAAATAGTATTTTTTAGAGAGAAAAAAAAGTCAGCACAATTGATCAGTACATTGAAAAAGTCCAATAACTTGTGCAATGTGTAGCACCTGTGGACCTCCCACCTCCATGAAGGCATAGGTTGGGGGCATCTTCTCATATCTCTTCATTTAAGTCTTGCTTAATCTTTATAATTTTGATACATTTACTTTTGATATTTTTGCTGTGTAGTTGTTTTTTCCATCTATGTTATTGTAGTTACTCTGTCTGTTGTTTTCTTGGCTCTGCTTACTTCACTGTACATAAGTTCATTCTTCTCTGTATTCATGCTTCTCCATATTCATCACACACATTTTCTTCTCATAGCACAGTAATATTCCACTGGATAACATGTATGTACCACAGTTTGTTTAGCCATTTCCCAAGTGATGGACATCTGCTTTTTTTTTTCTAATTCTTAGTTATCCCAAAAAGTGCTACTATAAGTATTTTAGGGTATATGGAGACTTTTTAAAGCCAGGAATGGCTTGTTTTGTTCAAAAAAGTTTTGGACATTTTAGTCACTTTTTTTTCATAATTCTAAATTGCTTTCCAAAATGATTGTACCATTAATAGCTCCGCCAGCAGTGTATTAGTGTGTTTCCTTCACCTTTTGAAGAATAAAATTATCACTAAGTCATTAAGAATTTGATTTTGGCAGAGAAATCTAGAAAGCCTTTGCAAATGTGTAGATAATTGCTTTCAGCCCTGTAGTTACTATCATAAGACTCTTGAACTTCCATGCTTGGTTTGTGATCTCTTTCTCTTTTTTTAATTTACTTTTAATTTTCTGTTCCAAGTTCTCTTCCTACCTCTACCCTTTCCCCCATTGAGAGAAGGCAAGAAATATGAAAGGAAATAAAAATATGTTTCATTTTGAACTCTGAGATAATCAGCTCTCTATGTGAAGGTGGATAGCACTTTACGTCATGAGTACTTTGGAATTGTGGTGGATCACTGTATTGATGTGATCTGTTTCTCAAGTGGGGGGAAGGAAGGAAACAAACATTAAGCACCTATTATGTGCTAGGCACTATGTTAAACACTTTACAGATATCAAATTTGCTCCTCACAATAGCCCTGCAAGGTAGGTGCTATCATTATCGTCATTTTATAGTTGAGGAAACTGAGGCAGACAGGTTTAATGACTTGCGTAGGGTCACACTGCTAAGAAGTATCTGAGGCTAAATTTGACAAGTCTTTATGATTCCAGGTCCTGCATGCTATTCATCGTGCTATTTAGCTACCTTCTTCACCTATTTCCTTCTCCTGTCCAAATGGGTCTGTAGCATACTCCATGTTACTTCTGTTTCTTTCTTCATAAACCTAATCAAATGTTCCTCTGGTTCCTGGCTTTTCTCACCCATGTACATGTTCTTAATTTATAATGCTGCTGTACTACTTCTTTCATCTTTTGTTTTTTTTGTTGTTGAATAAGGTATACACATTTCCATGGTAGGTGTATTTCAGAAATGAAAACTACTGATATATTAAGTTATGCTGGGGTCATTTTTTGGTTTCTAAAACATTCTGGGTTTTTAAAGTTCTTTTTCTGTCCACGTGAACTTTTTAAACTCTAAGCTATGTAAGGAAATGGGGTGTGAAAATATGTAGGATTAACCGTGTTTGTTTGACTTTTCTTTTTCTAGTAAACTTAGAAGCTTTTTAATGCTGTCTTTTTATGGGCAACATGAGTTTTGTGCATCATAGATATCAGCTGTCACATAAAATCTCGAATGATATTAATGGCTTTAGAAGATATTTATATGAGGATAATTTTGCAAGAATGTGGTGATGAATAATGTAGTACAATGAGTTGCATAATTTGAAAGCCTTCTGTTTCACTCAGATTTGTTTGCCAAAATAATTCCTCCTGTTAAAAGATGTTAACGCTTAAATGTTAGACCTGCTGTGACCATACTGATTTGTGCAAATTCCATCAGTTGGTATCAAGTATTCAACCTTGTTGTTCATTCTGATATGTACTACATATTTTCATTTTTTCTTTAGGAAATGAGTCTTACATATCCAGAAATAGAAATGTTCTGATATTCATTATCTTTCTTTTTTATTCTGTAATTCAGTGTGCAAAATGTTTGTGGTAGTCACTACCTTTCATGTAATAACAGATATCTACACATCCTCTGTTTTTCCTCAGCAGTCTGTCTTGTTGATTGTCATTAAGAGTGTAATATTGTCCTACTTTACTTTATTCACTGTCATGGAATTCGGTTTTAAAATGTGCAGAAGCTCTATTTCCTGTTTTTATGACACTGAAGACTCCTTTGGTGCTCCCTCTGCTTTTTCGTCACGGTTGCCATACACTTCTCATCTTAGTCTTAATTTAGGTGCTAGGACTACAGGAGTACTAACATTGGTTCCAAACTAAGCATCCCCTTCTAGGAGACCTGTGTTTTTAGACAGGAGTTCTGATAGTCAAGACAGTAGGAACTCTTGTTATCGCTACACTATTGCTCATTTGATGAGGGAATGGACAGGCACAGTGTTAGTCTAGATGTTGAGAACAGAACAGTACCACACTGTCAGGCCAGTAGTTAGGAAGACTCATCTGCTGAATTTACTAGCTGTGTGACCCAGGGCAAGCTACTTAACCCTGTTTGCCTCAGTTTCCTCATCTGTAAAATGAGCTGGAGAAGCAGGTGGCAAGCTATTCCAGTATCTTTGCCAAGAAAACCCAAATGGGGTCACGAAGGGTCAGACAGGACTGAGAATGACTGAACAGCAACAACAACAGCACAACGTGCGACCTCAGATTTAGTGTTTTGGAGAATAGCCTGTCTCACCCACAAAGGTACTATTATTATCTCAACTTTTCCAGTGACTAAGGTCATAAAACTTGTTAAGAATTTTTGGCAAAGTTCTTCCAGTGTTATTTTTCTTGAGATAAAATAATCTATTTCTTGTATTTCAAAATTGAATCTGTGTTTTCCTTATTTAAGAAGTTGATATTTTATAGAGCATATATAGATAAAAATATAACAATGAACCTAGCTTTCCCACTTGTATTCTGAAATTGCATTTGTTAGTTTCATCCAAAGGCTAGGGTTTTTTTTTCCTTTAAATTTTATTTTTAAATCCAAATTCTCTTACTCCTACTTCCTCTCCTAGATACTAGTTTTAGACAGTTACCCACCACTGTATTATAAAACAAAGTTAGTATAATTTTAAAAAGATAATGAAAGTGGAAAGAGTATCTGTAAAGATATCTGAGGACAAAGATCTTTATTTTCTTTTGATTTGATTTGAAAGGAGGCAAATGTGTATGTGTGTGTGTGTGTGTATATATATATATATATATATGTATATATATTTACACACACACACACACACACACACACACACACACACACATACATGTATAGGGCATATTTTCTCATCTGATTAAAGTTCATTAATGATTATTATTATTTCTTTCTAACAAATTGCTTTTGTGATTATAAAGATTCCTGAGACAGTGTACGTTTTGTTAACCCAAGAAAATTGCCCTTCCTGTGTTTTTTCTCTGCTTTTCTTTTTGCTTCTGCAAGATATTTTAGCTAATTATTAAAGGCATACAGCTTTTATTTTTCCAGAACACATGGGTTTTTTAAAGAGAATTTTCTGAAATGCTCATTCTCATCTTTTAAAAGAAATATTGTACTTCCTCAAATGAAGAGGAAATTAGTTGTGTTCTGATTCAGCAGAAGCTTCAGCTTTACATAGAAGTATGTGAGAACTATGTAGTGTGACAGTGTCGCTTTAAAAAAAGTATGCTCTTCAATATGGAATTATGCATAAATATTCAAATCATCTACAAAGGACCAGTGAAGGAAGGTGCTATCCCCCTCCAGAGAAAGAACTGATAAAGAGAAGCATGTATAGTATGCTTTTACATATATACGTATACGTAAGTGTGTACATGAGTGAAATGGCTGCCTTCTCTAGTGCAGGTTAGGGAGGGAGATGATTTGGAACTTAAAATGTAACCAAAAAATTTTTAGTTTGAAATTATGCAAAGAACATGAAAAATGTCCTCACCCTTTGAGCAAGAGGTCCTACATCGATAGGCATACGTGCTTACCTTGTTTTATTGACTTCCCTTTATTGTACTTTGTGGACATTGCATTTTTTAAAAATTGAAAGTTTGTGGCAACCCTGTGTCAAGCAAGGCTTTTGGTTCCATTTTTCAGCAGCATGTGCTCACATCGTGTGTCTGTGTCACCTTTTGCTAT